AGGGAATCACGAAAAGATTTCATCTCTTGTTTTATCTCTTCTTTTATCTTTAGCAGTTCTGCCTTCATTTCTTCCTTGAGTTTAGCAATATCTTTAGCCATTTTTCAATGCCCACACAAGAATACAACGCAGGACAATTAGAAGAAAAAAAATATTCCGGATTCACTGTTTGGCAGCAGCGACGAAGCGTAGATATGCAACAAGGTAATAAAATACCCGATATATCTGGAACACTAACCTGCGATAAGAGTGCCAGAAAGTACAGCCCGTGCACACAGCTCTCGCCGCTACTGCCAAGTGAAAGCTGCGACAACCACGTAGCTCCTTTTGTAGTGCGCAAAGCGTGACGTTGATCCTGGAGACAGGGCGCAGGCGCAGCCGACAATGACGCCTCCTGGTACCAGACCCTGGATTGCTTCAGAGAAGCGGTGGACCGTTTGGACGCTTTTGGTGCGGCTGCTTGAAATGCCCTGCGATAAGAGTGCCAGAAAGTTTAGTCCGTGCACACAGCTCTCGCCGCTACTGCCAAGTGAAAGCTGCGACAACCACGTAGCTCCTTTTGTAGTGCGCAAAGCGTGACGTTGATCCTGGAGACAGGGCGCAGGCGCAGCCGACAATGACGCCTCCTGGTACCAGACCCTGGATTGCTTCAGAGAAGCGGTGGACCGTTTGGACGCTTTTGGTGCGGCTGCTTGAAATGCCCTGCGATAAGAGTGCCAGAAAGTTGAGCCCGTGCACACAGCTCTCGCCGCTACTGCCAAGTACTCCATGCATCTAACCGGCGGCAGTCAGATGGGTGCACACTGGCTTGCACCAATTTGCGGGTACCTCAGAGTGACGTCATGAGCCGGGTAATCGGTGGTGATTGGTTCTTTATTATGTGTGGTGGCCTTCGAAAAACCCTTCCGAGGGTATGAGCGAGGCTATTTCTTCAGTCGCAGTATGGATAGGTTGCCACCGCGCTGTGCTCACCTTTCTGTTGGACACGTCTTGTGGAGCCCTTTCAACATTATCGCTTGTTACCACAGCGTCTTCTCCAGCGTGTATTTTTCTCAAGTTTGTATGGTTAATATGTCTAATATATCATCATCATCATCATCATCATCATCAGCCTGACTACGTCCACTGCAGGACAAAGGCCTCTCCCATGTTCCGCCAGTTAACCCAATCCTGTGCTTGCTGCTGCCAATTTATACCCGCAAACTTCTTAATCTCATCTGCCCACCTGACCTTCTGTCTCCCCCTAACCCGCTTTCCTTCTCTGGGAATCCAGTTAGTTACCCTTAACGACCAGCGGTTATCCTGTCTACGCGCTACATGCCCGGCCCATGTCTATTTCTTCTTTTTGATTTCAGCTATGATATCCTTAACCCCCGTTTGTTCCCTAATTCACTCTGCTCTCTTCTTGTCTCTTAAGGTTACACCTACCATTTTTCTTTCCATTGCTCGCTGCGTCGTCCTCAATTTAAGCTGAACCCTCTTTGTAAGTCTCCAGGTTTCTGCTCCGTAGCTAAGTACCGGCAAGATACAGCTGTTATATACCTTCCTTTTCAGGGATAGTGGCAATCTACCTGTCATAATTTGAGAGTGCTTGCCAAATGTGCTCCACCCCATTCTTATTCTTCTAGTTACTTCAATCTTGTGGTTCGGCTCCGCGGTTATTACCTGCCCTAAGTAGACATAGTCTGCTACAACTTGAAGTGCACTATTACCTGTCTCGAAGCGCTGCTCTTTTCCGAGGTTGTTGTACATTACTTTCGTTTTCTGCAGATTCATTTTAAGACCTACCTTTCTGCTCTCCTTGTCTAACTCCGTAATCATGAGTTGCAATTCGTCCCCTGAGTTACTCAGCAATGCAATGTCATCGGCGAAGCGCAGGTTACTAAGGTACTCTCCATTAACTCTTATCCCTAACTGTTCCCATTTTAGGCTTCTGAAAACCTCCTGTAAGCACGCGGTAAATAACATTGGGGTGATTGTGTCCCCCTGCCTTACACCCTTCTTGGATTGGTATTCTGTTGCTTTATGAAGCTTTCTTATAATATATATATATATATATATATATATATATATATATATATATATATATATATATATATATATATGCAAATCTTGGTTCGCTTGGGTGCCTTGAAGACTATGCAAACGAACAGTGAGGCACTCGGCCGGAACGCATGATTCACGTAGTACGTCGCCACATATGCCGCCGGCTACCACCGACCTTTCTGTTTTGCGTTTCGAGATGCGCGCGCGTGTGGAGAGGGCTCCTACCCTCTTTCTCGGCAGACTGGAATGCCCGCACGGCCCAACCAAGCGATCAGCGGCGCACCTGTGCGTGTTGTGTGTCGGCGGCTACGCCCGTTGAAAGAGCGCCTCCAGACGCCATGTTGGTCCGGCGGCTTAGGTGACGTTTGTTTGCGGCTGATTTAAAATAGGCGTGCGTTGGGCGTCGGCATGGGGTGGTCCCAGCTGTCCCTGGGCCGCAAGGCGGGCTACGCGTTCGCGGCCCTCAGCCTCGTGCTCGTCTTCATCGCGTTCACTACGCCCTACTGGCTCGCCTCGGACCCACGCGTGTACAGCGCGCAGCTCCTGCAGCTCGGCCTGTGGGAGACGTGCTTCCGCAGCTTCGCCGACCCTCGGGACCTGAACATGGAGAAGTACTACGTTGGCTGCCGGTGGATTTTCGCGTACGAGTACAACACGCTGCGGGACTTCATCGAGATCCGTGAGTTGGTGACCTCTCCTGCGTCCCCGCCTTTATTAAAAAGGGGGTCACGTGTGAATAGCCGTGTGCGCTGCTTCCCCGGTAGAAGAGAATCCGTCAGTTGGGTCTTAATATCTTGATGACGACATAGAACTGACGTGCGTTGGTTCCTTTCAGACAGTCCATTGTTGTCCCGCCGAAATGACTGACGAGGAGAATTTTGCTTCTTTTCTTGGTCGTTCATGCAGTACTTAAAACTGCATCGCCTCACGTTCCGTGTGATGTAATGCCGGCGAAAAACGTAGCTAAAAGTAACTAAAATAACGTAGCTACGTCTGTCATATTTGCGTTGTAGTGTTTCTGCGACCTCGTGAATGTGCGCAGGGTTTCTCCACCGGCCGAAATTTCACCGCTCCCGAATGGTGGAGTCCGAGAGGAAACTAGCTTGGGGTAGATATGGCACTGTCAAGGCCTTCCTGCCTTCGGGTCGCGCATTTCGTTGTGTAAAGGAGCCTGGGCCGCCAAAACCAGCGTTGCCTTAATCTCAAACAATGACTTGAGGTCTCGACGGGTGAAGATATGGCAGAGACTAGTGATGGACTACAAGCACTGGAATGAAGGGGAGGGGGGGGTTGACACAGGCTTTGGGGGGGGGGGGGGGGGCGATCCACTGGCTGTCACCCACCTTTCAAGGACTATAAGTTTATGTTTATGCGTGCTTTCTAAGAATACTCGCGATTGGTCGAGATAAAGAGTAGGCGTGGAAATACATATCAGTATGGCACACTTGCTTTCGGCATCGCGCATTTTCTGTGTGGTCATAGAAACGTTAACAAGTTGTTTCGTGACCTGTTATGCTGAATATCTGGAATAGGGATGGTGAGCAATGGCTTGGCATGTAACCAGCGAGCGTGATGTACCGTCGGAATATAATTATCGAGCAACACTTTAAACAAAGAACTCTAATAACAGTTTCTGCAGGTAATTTGGCATTTGTATTTTCTGTTTTTCCTTGTAGTCTCGCACGGTAAATTCTAGCATGATTTATTTTATCGCACTTGAATTAAGTCTATGGTTTAATTTATTGTGTGCAGCATCCACTGTTCTGTAATAGTGGTTGTTACTGAGTGTGTTTGTGATCTCAATTCAGCACAGACGCTGCAAAAGGCAGGGAAAATATTTTCAAGTCTATTTAATGTACGTGGTGACAAGACAGCAGGGGAGCTCAGAGGTTTTTTTTTTTCATCCACAGGAGTGGTGCTGTGAACCATTGCAACATGATTTGAGTAAGCATATATGTAAATGCTTCTCTCAGCCATGGCTGGTTTTCAGAATACCCTCAATTGCTTGTGAAAAATAGAAAAAAAAAGCCATGTGTATTATTGAGCAAACAGCCAGTTGGACTGTATGGGGTGGGCTCAACCATCTGTTTTCAAATAAATTTCTGGCTATGTGCCTGGTGCAGTTAGCCTCCTTACAGTACTCTACCTCTGCAGAATATTTATGGATTTAAAAAGTGCCTGGGTTGGTAGGCATGTCATTGAGAAGTTGAGGAAATTTTCCGTGGCCCTTCCATGCAACAGTGTGCAAAGTTGGTGGTGTCATCAAGCATTATTACTGCCACATCAATTAGCCAGCCAACATATTCTGGCACCAATTTATAAGCAGTTTCAACCAAGATACACCAGAAGTTATTGAAAATGTGACCACATCATTCATTTTGTTATGCCCATTTTTGGTAGCACTTAAAAATATAACTCCACATTACTCTGCCCCCAAACAAATTAGAAACATAGTTTGTGTGTTACAGCTACAAAATTGTTGTATCTGAGCTCTTTATCAGACATGCAAGAACTTTTTATTTTGAAACCTAAAATTTGATGGCTATTCGTCTTGCATGGAAAAAGTATTCTTTAATCGCGATAGATACACTGACCGAACGATCAAGATGTTTTGTAACATGACTTGAGTATACAGACATACTTAGTTGCACTGTGCCATTCTCGTAGCTTTTGTGGTGAACAAGGCTTGAGTATGGAGTGCTGGAATATCAAGTAAACATTTTGATCTTTTTGGTTGGTGTATCCTATGTCCTTTAAACTATCCAAAAGGCTGTGTTGATGTCAAAGAAGTCATAGATTAGACTCCAGCTGTCTATAAACGTTGGCATCTGAAAGAGGTGTTGCAAAGTGCCTTTCAGCCAGGTTTGTGCATTTATGGTGCTGTGGCTAATGTGTGAGGCAGCTACATGCCATGTGTTCACTGCTATAAAGCCCATCGTGTGGCCTCTGTGCAGCCTTCTTTGTGGCCGTGCAAGTCTTCTTCACAATCGGCTTCACGCTGCTGCTGCTGGCATGTGTCCTACTGCTGGCCATGCACATTTGTCTGCCCTCAGCGAGGACTCTCCAGTTGCTCAAGATTGTTATCGCCCTTCTTGTGGCATCAGGTAACATTCTTCATATTCTGAAAACCACACATTCGATTCTGGTCACAAGTCACACTGATTAATTGAGAAATGCATCTGTCCATGTGCTATGGTCAACATTTTTTTGTTATAAGTAACTAAAGGTCGGGCATTTGATTTCCTGTGCAGAGTTGATCGTCTGTCCTGGTCCTTGTGTTGTGTGTCCAAAATTTCACCATGCAGCCAAACCAACCAGTCCACCTTTTAGTAGTATGGAAGTTATGATGACATCATAGCGGCTATTTTTGTTTTGCTTCATTTGTTCCAGCAGGCTATACTCCTTGGCAGCTGCTTGTGAATTTGCGTCACAGGTGTTGAAAATTTTGTGTTTGGTGACACTGCAGTCCCGTTTCCTGCTCGGACAAACTTCTTTTCGCGTACCATGCAGAAGTGTGCCGTCACATCTCTATGTGATCACGTGGACACATTTTGTGGTGATAGTTTCACCCGGTAGTTTCTCATTTCTGAAGCTCTCTCAAACCCATATTGAGACTGCTTGGTGATGAAGAGCCTGTAATTATCAGTCACTTGATGTGGCAAACAATTTGCCTTGCTATTATTATTAGGCCCCCTAGAAAATATTGCGGCAAAAAGTGCAAGGCCAAAATTTTTGTGTCCGTACCCCTGTAAGGAATGAATATTCTCGGATTATGAACTCAGACATGTTAGCCAGTCATGTCCTCTCCCAGTTCAATGATCTTTGGGACACACTCATGTAATCCTTATAATCAGTTTCTGTCAATATTCTTTTTTATTTGTGATCGATTAGCTGAGCTCATTTATCAGAAACTATATGTTGTACAGAAAGAAAGGTCAATGACTGAAGGTTAAATACCCTTTTGTACTATCGCGAACAGCTTGAATCTGTGTTTAGTTTCAAACGCACACTTTGAAGGTGATGGGTTAATGCATAATATGAAAGGTGTTTCCTGCATTTACGCGGAAACAAAACAAACTTTGTTTTTGTTTTTATTGTCTTTAATTTCATATTTGGCTCTAATTATACCAACCTTGTTTTCACATGTCGTAGTCACCGGAAATTAAGGAAATGTGATGCACTGCAAAATGCACCAAAGAAATATGCCCTTACAGTATTTTACATTATTTTAACAATATCACACAGGTGGCGAGAAAGGGAAACGATAGCCTTCAGTATTCTCTTAAGGTAATGAGACCTGCCGATGATGAGTAAGCGCAAAAAACACCCTGAACTAGGAGTACTTCAAGTAAATAGTAAACAGCGGATAACGCAAAGAAAGTAAATCAACCCAGGGCAGTGTTGAGGACACTTGGTGTCACATAACAGGCATGTGCATAATAAGGATCATTTCTCTGGCGTGCTGAATCGTACAACGCTGTTTACTCACACATTATTTAAATATCGGTTGAAGGAAGCAGCGTATGAGACAGCGCTCACAGTTTATGGTTTCTTGTTTGCTTGCGTATCATTGCCAGATCTCATCCGTTTATGAGAATATTAAAAGCTACCTTATGCTGTTCTCACTGATCATGTAGTATTTTTAAAAATTAGAAGGGTGTACATTATTTATGCATAATTGCTTAGATTGAAAGAATAGAATATAATAAGTGTATTACTATTCCTGTAGTTTTCTGAGGAGTGTATTCTTCAGCTTTAGGGTTGCACTCACCAAACTTGATTGTGCACTCCAGGTAACTTATTACTTGATATTGGCGTGCATCCTCTGATGTGATGGATTTCACTGCCTAAAACCTCAGATACATGTTATCACTAAATGCAGGTGAGAGTAGTAAAGACTTCTAGAGTGAGTTTCAATGTTTTCATGAGACACCATCATTCATATGATTGAGTCCATGCTAACACTTCATGAGTGCCAGCAGTATTGCTGGGATATATGGTGATGCATGCCTAATTGCAGAGTAAAATGTTGACAGCTAGCACCCGTGCTTGCCGCTGTCACTTTCCTGCGAGTGCTGTTTGCATGTACAGTGGCGTCCACAGTTAAGGCGATCACGGCTTAGCGTGGCAGCACTGCGTGGAGCGCATTGAATAGAAGCGGCGCAGGTGCACACCAGCGGGGCACTTTTGCTGTACTACAAAGAAGCAAGAAGACTGCCGCTTTACCACTACTCGCACAAGCGATGTGGAAGAGGACGTAAAGCATGTACTATGCATCTGTGTACGCATGCGTCACTACGCTTCTATCCGTGACCGTGCTGGCACACTGGTGCTGCGTGAAGCGTGATCACTCTGAACCGTGTTCACCCTAACAGTGTACGGCATTGTACTGTGCAGATCACATGCATTCTAATGAACAAGATCAACCACCAGAGCCAAGCTTTTACCGCTTGCTAAATTCGTTATGGTCGCAACCGCATGCATGACAATAATAACGAATTCACAGCAGAATTGTTGTGGCTTAGGTGTGTCATAGATTATGATGGAAAATTAGCATCACCACGAGCCAGCAAGCACCCAAGCACTCTGTACAGATGCGAGACAAGAAAAGCTAGAAAAACCTCAACAGGTTTGTGCCTGCTGGGTGTGCTGTTGCTAATTCTTAGTGGACCAGTGCAGTGGTGAATAGTAGGACTTGCCCAGTTTCTATGGCGGATATGTGGTGTATAAGCTTTACTGTGGAGAGGTGAAAAGGTGATAGAGTGACTACAGAAAGGGAGGGAAAGATACACAAAAAGGTAGAAAAATGAAGAGACATTGAGAACTAGATGGAATACGAAAATTGACTGCACTGGTCACATCAAACAGTACACGTATGTAACTAAAGCGGATCGTTTCAGTTTATATATAAACGATTGAAGTGCTCTTTGCTCTGCCTTCCAAAAGATTTGATGGAGGACACTTGAGTTTGAATATTATATAACGTTCAGGATTTATCGACATCCAACCGTTGCTTGTAAAGTTTCACTGGAAAAGCATTGGAACACAATCTCTCTCTGTATCAGTGCTACCGCTTTACTTAGGTAAGTTCAAGTTAAAGAATCTCTCTTAATGCAATGTGAAGCCTTTCATTCTTGCACACTTTGTGCTGCAGAGCACGAGGATTGTGATGCAGTATACAACATATTGATTAAATCTTTTTTATTCAGTGTACATAAAGTGTACGCATATACAGTCGAATCTCATTATTTCTAACACGCTTAATTCAAACTTCCGGTTGATTCGAATGGGTAAACGTCCGGTAATGCGAACGCGCAAGAACTTGCGACGGTTAATTCGAACATGCCGCGCTCCGAAAATGCTCTCAGCACCCCGCCCACGACCCCGCCCAATCCCACGGCGGCACCTGCGACACCTCAACGCTGCGCGCGGAGGAAAGGAAAAGGAAAGAAAAGGCTGCTGTGGAATGTTTGCTCTTTCTCAAATGCTGATCTGCCACGCGCCTGTGTCGCGCTTCTTCCTTTTCGGTCCCCGCCACGTGAAGACCCTTCTGCTTTCAATACCGCGTGCAGAGAGAGGGAAAAAAAAAAAAAAGAAAGCTGTCGCGGGGTTGGTTGTATCCAGCGACCCTGGTTGTGTGGTTGAAGGAAAGGAAAAAGGCACTAGAGAGTTTTAGTGCTGGGTACCCAAGCTCTTGGGGCGCTGCGGGCTTAGGGGCGCGCGGCGTTGCGTACCCAACTTATACCCAACTGGAATGCCTAATAAGGGAGTTTTAGTGCTGGGTACGCAAGCTCTTGGGGCGCTGCGGGCTTAGGGGCGCGCGGCGTTGCATACCCAACCCATACCCAACTGCCTTTCGCGCGCCCGCAAACGCAAGCCGCACGAAGGTCACACGCGCTTGCAGCGCCATAGCGTCTTAATTGTCGCATAAGTATTATTTAATTATGTTTACGATTTAAAATGTTACATTAAACTTACATAGTGACATAAAGTAAGCTCATTTCAATGAATCATTTTTAAATAATATGACAGTTATCAACACTGAACAAAAAAAAAGCTTTTTCGTATGCGCCACACTTGCAACTGAAGCAGGCACCGTCGATGCCAAGCAATCCAGGCGCCCGGTCGTAGTCCGACAAACGCGACCACAGAGCAACAGTGTAGCGTGTAACTCTGTGTAACTTTTAGCTTGTACGTATACTGCTTTACGTTAACGTGTTACCGGATACCAGTTTGCGTTTACCATGCTACCGGAACGTTCCTCCACCAACGTTTTGAGCTCATCAGACGTAAATATGTATGCCTTTACATTTTCACAAACCATAAATGGTGATGCTAACTGTATTTAAACTGCATTTAACTTACATAGGAATGAATCACCGTTGGGGCAAAATCACGAGACTTTTAGATCGCAAAAAAAGGGAAAAATACAAGGTTGCTGTAACGATTGTGTCGACATCTTGTGACACTTCGTACACCATTCATGAACATGTTGGCTTACGTGTAATGTTTTTGAGGTGAAAATGAATAAAAAGGTTACTAATGTGTAATGACGCTGCTGCGCGGTTTTCGCACCAGACGTACAATGCACAATGTTTCTGCAATAACAATGTTGTGATTGTCTGGTTCACCACAGGTGGCGCCACCTATTCAGCTGGTCGAAGAGCTGGCATATTTTCAGTTTTTATGTTCCAGGCCATTCTAACTTTGGTAATCTGGCCGAAACAATGTAATCGCAATTGGTGCTCACACTTTGGCTTATTTTAACTAGATGGCTAGAGTATCCGCAGTGCAGATATCGTGAGTTCCTGCGAAGGTGGACCTTACAAGGCGACCAATCCATGCTGTCCGAGATTTGGTGCCTTTGTGCCATGATATTTGTATAGCGGCTATCCACTATGATATTTGTGCTTAAAACTTATAAGTGAAAGTGGTGGCACTAGCCAGCATAGGCTTTGCTCGCCGTGAAGGTGAGTGACATCACAGGTAACATGATGCGCCAGGGCAGCTTATCTCCGCTAGGAGGCCAGTGGTGGCAGCGTTGTTTATGGCGGCGCAGACGCATCGCCCCAGCGATCTTGCGACACATCTCTTTGGGGTTTCG